CAGGGACCCTCTGGGATTTTAGCTTGGCTGGAGCTGGCCCAGGGCAGCAAGAGATGATTCTGGAGCGAGGGCAGTGGCTGGTCTCAAAGGGCTTTGGACACTAGGATGGGGGAACTCGACAGAAGGAAAGGGCCTGAAGAGAGGAATTCAGTTTGTAGACATGGGGATATGTCAGTAGGTAGCTGAACAGATGGTTTTGGAGATCAGGAGAGAAAGCCAACTTGGAAATTATTTGGAAATCATCAGTTTATGGATGTAATTGGAGACATGGAAGCAGAGGTTGCCAGGTACTAAGGGAGAAGAGACCAGGGCCAAGACAAGGCCTTGAGAAATAAGCCTAAGGACAACAGAAGAAAAGGACTGAGAAGTAGCCAGAGGCTGAGTAAGAATTCATCGTCTCTGGGTCTCTATCGCAGACACTGCGCTAGGCACTGGCTTCTGCTGCAAAAGATGAGTGCAAACTGAGAATGGGGGCGGGGGCCATGAGGAAAATACAGAGCAGGCTCCAGTGGAGAGACCATGGATCGGTAGAGGCACCAATTGGAATAATATGTGCTCTTTCTTCAGGAACCCAGGTGTAAGGAATCCAACTCTTCAACCCAGAGTTGGATTGAGCTCGAATTGGAGTTTGCCAAATGGAAAGATGGAAGGGTGAGGGGGTCAAGGGGCAGAAGAATATTGGCAAGAATGCAATTCAGCCAGTTATCTTAGAGCTGGACTTGCAAATCACATAGGTGATTGAATTCAACTATTTGGTCAGCATCCATCACAGACCAAAGAACTGCCATCTGTCTTATAAGTTAACCATAATTTAAAATTGACCTTCTCAAACTTCAGCATGCACAGGGATCCTGCTGAAATGTAGACCTTGGCTGAGCAGGGCTGGGCGGGGCCTGAGGCTCTGCATTTCTCACCAGCGCCTGGCTACTGATGCTGTTGTGGGTCTGAAGACCACGCTTTAAGAAAATTTTTTTCTTAATTGACAAATAAAAATTATATATATTTATCATATACAACTTGGTGTTTTGAAATATGTATACATTTGGAATGGCTAAATCGAGCTAATTAACATGCATTACCTCACATACTTAACATTTTTTGTGTGGAGAACACTTCAGATCTACTCTCTGAGTGACTTTCAGGAATTCATTGTTATTAACTAGAGTCACCATGCTGGACAATACATCTCTTGAACTTATTCTTCTCATCTAACTGAAACTGTGTATCCTTTGACCAAAGCTAACCCTCAACCCCCAGACTACTCTGAATAGTGAGGTTTGAAAAGGTTTTGCTTTACTTTGGGGGGAGGTGACCTGCCCTAGGGTACAGCTTACTAGCCAGGTGCTGGAGCGCACAGACTGTTAACCTCTGTTAGCTGGCTGACACCATGTGACAGGTTGAAATTGGCCATAATAGGAGTTTTTACATTACAGAAATCCACAAATCAAGGCTGGCTACACCTATATAACAGTGAGGTGTGCTGTAGAATAGGCTTCTGCATCAGGGATCATGAGAGCAAGTTTTCAGTTGGTCTCTGTGCTTCATTCATACTTTGATAAAGAGGCCATCGGTCCCAATTGCTGTGTCACATGTGATGCTTGCTGGAAAGCATTAAGGGAACTGACTTAGCTCTGGTGCATCAGAGGACCTATCAGAGGCAAACACTTGCTGATACCTCGTTTGTCCTGTGAGCCACCTAGAGAAGTAGGGTTGTGGGAAGAAAGGGGGCTGAGAGGTTGCTATGGGCAAAGAGTGGCTTGCTGGAAATTCTTACCCATGCTGCACTGTATTTCCCCGGCTACCTCCGGGCAGTAAGCTGACCTGGGCACGGGTGTACCAGGGTGCCCTTTCAAAGTCCTGGGCTGCACTACCAGGCTGATGCTTTACCTCTAGTTGGAAAATATGAAAAGTGATTCTCAACCATGGAAACTGGGTAACTTCCATAATATCTGCTTCGCTTACTGGCTTTTAAAATGGGGGTAGTTTTAGGCTGGGCGTGGTGGCTCATGCCTGTAATTTCAACACTCTGGGAGGCTGAGGCAGGAGGATCATGAGGTCAGGAGTTCAAGACCAGCCTGGCCAACATGGTGAAACCCCGTCTCTATTAAACATACAAAAATTAGCTGGATGTGGTAGTGGGCACCCAGCTATTAGGGAGGCTGAGGCAGGAGAATTGTTTGAACCCAGGAGGTGGAGGTTGTAGTGAGCCGAGATCGTGCCATAGTACTCCAGCCTGGGTGACAGAGCAAGACTCTGTCTCAAAACAAACAAACAAACAAACAAAAACAAAAAAGTAGTTTTTTTTCTTAAAAATAAAACATACATCCAATATGGTCAGAGAAAACCAACTGAATTCCTTTTGGTGACAGTTTGGGGAAGACAATGAAATCCCTCTGCTAAAAAAAAAAAAAGGGAGTCTCCTATTTTCTGACCTGTGGGTCATGCAGTTTTAATTTCCTCTACCTTTCTTTCTTTCTCTTTTTTTATTCTTTTTAATTTCATGAACCTGCTTAAGGCCACAAAGCCTCCCCTGAATCCCTCAGCTGTCTGGCAGATGCGCCGCTGCCAGTGCTGCGCAGGTTACTATGCCAGGCTGAAGTTCCACAGCTGTGACTCAGTGCACCTTCAAATCCTCTTGCCGGGTGACGGTGAGATGCCCCAAGGGGCTCCTGAGAAGGCGGTGGGAGAGAATAGCCACCCAGGAGCTCCTCCGGCCCTTGGAAGAGGGAGGCTGCCGGGGAGTGAGTCCAGTGGCACCAGGATCTGGTTTATGTGAGCCGAGGCTGGCCAGGGACCCAAGAGATGCAGGCAAAAGGCTGTGCCGTGAGCCACATTCCTCGCTTAGGCCCCCTTCCAGGGGAAGCAAAGTCAAGCCCTGGCAAATGGCAGAGCTGCTTCTTATCTTTGGGCCAGCTGTGAGAACAACGGCATGATGACATGCTACCCATGTAGCCAAGCTCCTCCTCTTCCTCCCTTGCACCCATGGGTTCCATCCTGTTCATTTGCCAGTTATTACAGGAGCACCATGGGCAGGCCACATAGCTAGTGCTGTGGAGATGACAGGTCTTAGTGAAGGAACAGAGGGACTGGCATGGGGATGGGCGAGGGAAACACCTAACTATAAACCTAAACATCTAAAGATCTGGAGGAGCCGCGGGGAAGTAGGACTGTGTGATGATGTCGGACATTTCAAGCCATGCCTCAATGCTCTGACTCTAAATCTCGCTGGTCCTGATCAGTGCCTGCCCCAGGGTTGTAAGTGTCTCCTTACTGGGGTTCTCTTTCCAGGGAGGCATGTGGAGCGGGAATGGAGCAGTGCACAGCAGAGTGACAGGGTCTTGAGAGGACTCAGGCAAGCCGGAGAGAAAAGGCCTCCAGCCAGAGTCAGCTCCACCCAATAGAAAGTTCCCTCTGAAAGCTGGGAAGAGGCCTGCTGGGGCGGCGTCTGCCAGCACAAAAGCAGGGCTGGGGCAGTCACTAACAGCACAGATATCTAGAACAAAGAACGGTTTTGGGAAAGGAGAGGCAGGCTGTATTACAGCTGTACTGGAGATGGATGACTGGGGGCTTTCCTGAGTGCATGTTGTGTGTGTGCATGTGTGTGCATGTGTGTGCACATGTACACGCGCTTGCCTGGGCCAGGGCTCAGTCATCATTTCAGGATGTCTTCTGATTGCTCTGGGATGCAGGAAGCCACCCAGACCCTAGTTGCTGGACTCGCTCAGAGGCAAGAATGCAAAGCCGAAGGCGGCATGAGGAGAAGCTGGTGGGGGCTGAAGCCAGCCCAGCCTGCTTCATGCTTACTCTGCTCAGGTGGTTGGCCGGCGCTACTGAGACTCGCCAATCTCTAAGTCTCCAGCGTGCCTGAAGACAGGCAGCCTGAGGACTCAGTGCCCGAGCGCTGCTGGAAGACTTGGGGACACCCCCAAAGGAGGAAAGTGTCCTTCTGGGAGCCACTTGCACAGTGGTGTTGATCGTGGCCGTCCTGCATGTGGTATGCCACGTGGGAGGGGCAGTTCCACTGGGAGCTTCCCTTTACACAGGGTTTCCCAGCACCAGAACTCCTCAAACGGAGAGCCGCCGGAGTGCCCACTAAATAAACCAACAGCAAACACAAACACATGCTCACAAACGATTCCAAAGAAGCTCTGCACCAACAGGTGCTGGTCCTGACCAAGTCAAGCTACAAGTCTGACGCCACCTTTACCTGTTCCGGATCCCACGACGTCCCGGCTGGGTGACTCGGCCATGGCGTCGGCGAGTCGCTCCCGGAGGCCCTCCTCGGTGTGCTCCATGGAGGACATGTGCCGCAGCCCGAAGCCCTCAGGCCAGCTCCCGCACACCTCCAGCAGGGTCACGCTCCGGTCAAAGGTACCTGTGGCACACACGGGACATCTGACGTTGAGTCCACACCTTCAGGGAGCAGGCCGTTCTCCCACCCGCTCCTCTCCATACCCACGGTCCATTTTAGCCTTCCTGCAGGAAGCAGGAGCAGGATGGAAGCACGCTGGGAAACCGACTGTGGAGCGCAGGAGAAACAGCTCACACCGCGCAGAGAGTGCAGACCTCTGGAGTGACTTCTGTGACACTGAGGCCAGTGGTTTTAAGACTGTTTCTGAGGAGCTACAGAGTTCCCCCGGTCTTCAGGGACCGCCTTAAGAACTGGGACAGGGAAGGCAATCCCCTTCCCAGGTTCAACCCAAATGGATCCCTACTTTCCTCTTTTTGATACAATGGGACTCCACCTAAAATTTCATTTAGGGCGGGGAGTGGTGCCTTACACCTGCAATCCCAACACTTTGAGAGGCCAACACGGGAAGATTGCTTGAGGCCAGGAGTTTGAGACCAGCCTGGGCAACAGAGCGAGACCCTGTCTCTATAGACAAATAAACAAATAAATTTTCATTTAAAGAAGGGGTTATATAGCCTAATGGTTTTAAAGCTTTCTTAACCATTACATTCTATAACCTATAACCAACCTCCTCATTTTATAGTTGGAGCTCAGAGAAGTTATGGCCCAAGATGGAACAGCAAGTCTGTGGCAGACGAGGTCCAGGAACTCGCTCTTCTGATGCCTCAGTTGAGAACACGTTCTACTTCGCCACCTGGTCTCCCAGCTACCCAAGGGCATATGAACAACCAGGGAATTATTTTGGGGGATACCAGCAAAGAGGTGGGTGATAGCATCTTCGGCAAGGATCTGTCCTTAAGCCAAAGCTGCTCCCCAGTTCCAAAAAGTCTGTAGTGTTCTGCTGAACGCTAAGATTAGATTTTACATGCGAGATCACTTCAAAGTCCGAATTTGAATTATTCTACTTTATTATACAGCAAGTCTTCTGTGAAAGCTTATTTCATCCACTCTCTCTTGGAAGGAGATTATAGTCATGCTCTGTTGCTTTAAGCACATACCATTTCCCCAGTGATTAGGTAACTGAATCCACCGCATTTATTGGGCTTGGTTCCTGCCAGCACCAGGAAGATGGGGAAAAAATGCAAATGCCAACGTTTCCCAAAGTTAAAAGTACACGAAACACACACTCTTTATCAGGCCTTGCTTCTCCTCTTTGATCAGCCGTCAGAAACTATCTTCCCCAGGCAGTCAGGACTGGACAGTGTCAGCACACACTCCCTGCCAATGACAGGTGGTAATAGAGAGGGTGCGAGCCCCAGCCTCGGCAGGCGGCCCTGCCTCTGATAATGGCCACAGCATTGAGGTGATAACCGTTCGTAAACACTCCGACAGCCGGTGACTCCATATATCAGCAAAGAGGACCAGATAATCCTGAACTCTCCTGGCCAGACAAAGGCCCTTGGCCAGCCTACTGCGATTTATATGTGTGGCAAGGGTCACTACTGGCTCCTGAATTTCATCAGCCAAGTTTGGCTTTGATTTATCTCGTACCTCATTGTAGGGAAGATTCCTGGCACTGCGAGAATGGACAGCATCTATAAGGGCGTTTCCCCAAGAAGAGGCCCACCTTGGGAGTGGGTTGCTTGGGATCAGCTTGTCAGGTAGGACTTGCGAATGGGGAGCTCCCTATGCCACCTCTCTCCACCAAGTAGGGTCAGGCTGTAGATCTGGTAAGCTAGGCTCTGGAAATTGGGGGTGTGGGGCTGGGTGTCAGATGATTCTCCCAAGGCCTGAATTGTCCTAGAGCTGTGCACTGGTAGTGCCAATCTCAGAGCCAACACTTGACCACCCTTGGCAACAACTCCCAGGTGCCTAGCTCCCCAGGGACACACAGGGCTGCTGACATCCACTAAGCTTCTGATTCTGCTGCCTACTCACTGCATGATGCGCGGGCAGTCCTTGTAGCTCCTTTTCCATCTCTAAACTAGAATGAATAACCCTTTGCCTGTCTCACGGGAGTGAAGAGATTAAGCAAAGTCCCCACTTCCAGCACTTCCCCCACTAGACCTTATTTGACAAGATCTCGTGCTACAGTGCTACAGCATCATCATTTTTCTGAAGGGTCTGCATGCGACACGGGGACTTAATCATAACAAGAAAATGTGGCCCTCCTCCTCCCTGTTCGCTCAGCGTTTTTTTTTTTTTTTTTTTTTTTGAGACAGTCTTACTCTGTCGCCCAGGCTGGAGTGCAGCAGTGTGATCTCAGCTCACTGCAACCTCTGCCTCCCGGGTCCAGACAATTCTCGTGTCTCAGCCTCCCGAGTAGCTGGGACTATAAGCACGTGCCACCATGCCTGGCTAATTTTTGTGTTTTCAGTAGAGACGGGATTTCACCATGTTGGCCAGGCTGGTCTTGAACTTCTGACCTCAAACAATGCACCTGTTGTGGCCTCCCAAAGTGCTGGGATTCCAGGTGTGAGCCACTGCACCTGGCTGCTATACACTCAGCTTTCTTATGGACAGAGATGTTTCAGAGCCTGGAAAATTGGGAAGAGAATGACCATTTGTTTTCTCACTTAACAAGAGTAGAAGGTCTATCTCTAGAAAGGAGTTCAGTTAATGTTTGCATATACTGTGTTCAGAGACCAAGGCAGGGGAGCTGATAGCAGGACCAAGAGGAATATCAAAAGCCAAAGCAGGAAGAAAACAAACAAAAGAAATTGGGCTAGGCATGGTGGCTCATGCCTGTAATCCCAGCACTTTGAGAGGCCGAGGTGAGCAGATCACTGAGGCCAAGAGCTCGAGACCAGCCTGGACAACACGGTGAAATGCTATCTTGACTAAAATTGGCTGGGCATAGTGGCGTGCACCTGCAATCCCAGATACTTGGGAGGCTGAGGCAGGAGAATAATTTGAACCTGGGAGGCAGAGGTTGCAGTGAACTGAGATTGAGTCACTGCACTCCAGCCTGGGTGACAGAGTGAGACTCTGTCAGTCAGTCAATCAGTCAATCAATCAATGTTATAGCAAGAAAGGTTAGGGTAAGAGAGTGGGCCCAGTCCATAAGAGATGGTAAAGGCCAGAGGGGTATGTAATATTTTAAGGGATAAAGTAACAGTACACAGGAGAAAAGAATTACGAGCTAGTGTCATAGTGGAGGATGGAAATAGGCCTGGACTTCAGAAAAGACTAACGCATGTGAGCTGTATGATTCCAGGCATGCGTCTCTGATTCCTCATCCATAAAACCGGAAAAACAATACAACCACATAGGACGGTTGTGAGGACTGCAGTAGATAAATGTAAAAGACCTGACACACAGTGAGTGTTCTGTACGTCATAGGTGTGTTCACGTACATGTTCTTAATGACAAATATGTGCGCCTTTATACCACTTGAGGCATCATCATAAATTTTGACTATCACAATGATCCTGAGAGGTCACAGAGGTACTATTCCCCATTTATGGTGGTGAAACTGGAAGCTCTGAGAAGTTAAGTGACATGTTCAGAGTCTCTGAGCAACAGATCTGGAACAAGGGTTTCTAATTCTTTGCTTGGAGCTCATTCTATCAGCTCACACATTGTTTCCCTCAGCAGCACCTGCAGTGGAGAACTGTTTTTTTGTTTTTGTTTTTTTGTTTTTTTGTTTTTTTTGAGACAGGGTCTCACTCTTCAGCCCAGACTGAAGTGCAGTGGCGCAATCACAGCTCACTGCAGCCACAACCTCCCGGTTGAAGTGATCCTACCACCTCAGCCTCCTGAGTAGCTGGGACTACAGGTGCGCACCACCATGCCCAGCTAATTTTTTGTCAAGATGGGGTTTCGTCACGTTGCCCAGACTGGTCTCAAACTCCTGTGCTCAAGTGATCCACCCACCTTGGCCTCCCAAAGTGCTGGGATTACAGGCATGAGCCACGGTGCCTGGTCAAGAACCGTTATATGTGTAAACCACTTCTATCTTTCCTACCATTTTGAGAACTCCTGTCACCTTCAACCAATGGTATTTAAAAATCCTTCCCACTGCTTGGAGTTTGGTGGTGATGACGATGAGTCACCCTGTATACGGGATGGCACATGGGAGGAAAAAAAATTGATAGTAGGTCTATTCTCTCTTAGCATGGGCACAGCTAGGAAGTCGAGGAGAGAAGATGGGAGACACCAGAAGTGTTCAGCAAAGAAGCACCTGATCATTTCTGCCATCCTGAGACGTCATACAGAGGATGCCATCGGTGGCCCTGCTTATCCTGCCAGAAGGAGTCCCATCAGAGGCTCTGTCAAACCCGCTGTCTCTTTCCCTTCCACCCCTCGCAGCCTCTTTGCTGAGGACGGCAAAGGTGCTCCTGGAATCTGCCTGTCCCAGGGTGACGGCAAGACTGCAGGTATGTTTCAGCAGGCACTGGGGTGAAGAGGCCAAGCCCTTGGAGGGTGAGGTCATCTCTGGGCTCTTAGGAAACTGCACATCTTGTCCACGTTGACAGCACAGCTATCATTCATCTGACCAGCCCAGGGATACCCCATCAGATGAGCTGGCCCTTTGAGTCCCATTACAGGGGAAAGTGTCAGTTTCAAGCGAGGAGAAGATGCTCACTTAGTGCAGGCTGTTTGCAAAGGACAAAATACACACGCTTGGCAACAGAGATCTTTTGTTGAAGTAGTGCTCTGCTATTTACAAAGCCCTCTCACATTTGTTATTTCAGTTAACTCGCACATACCTCAAATATTGGTTAGTGTCCACTATGATATGTGTCAAGCACTGTACAAGGTTCAGAGTAAGCTTAAAAAAAAAAGAAAGAAAGAGGAGCTTATGTGACTTCACCAAACTATGGGAAGCAGCAATGATCACCATTGTATAGATTTCCATCTTACTGAGTTTCAGACACATGAGGCACCTGGTTCTAAGTGCAACTGTCTTCGCAGGCTATCTCCTGGGGATCTTTGCCTTCAGGGCTGCCTCCTGCCCTAAATACCATTTTCTAAGAATGAGTTCAAGTCTTACCTGCTCAACTACTGAAGGTATAAAGACTACTCTTGCTCAAACTCTACAGGTACAAAAGGTGCTCTCTTTCCAGGTGAAGTTGATGAAAGCTAAGCACTTACTCAAAAAATGTGTGCTTGCAGACACAAAATTATGCAAGCAATGTTGGGGCATCTATGGATGCCTCTGAAACCCACCTGTGGACCCCAGGTTAATTAGATCATTCCTGTGGCCTTATTTCCGTACTGCCTTGCACTGTTCACATAAACTGCTTTTCTAACTAGTTTAAAAGCCCCCGAGGGCATGGATTCCTCCATAATGAAAATAGGCACAGAACTTTGTACATCATGCTTGCTCAAAACAGGTTCGTTTACTGACTGATGATGAAATTTGACAGTCACTTTAGAGTCAACACCCTTTGGGTGGGGTACCAGAGCCTGAATATCTAGGGTCAGAGTAGGCAGAAAGTGGAGTTAAAATTAAAAGAGAGGAAGGAAGAAGAAGATAAGTGAGCAGAAAACAATGTCACGATTTTACTGCCTTCTGTGCACTTATTTTAGATTTGGAGATCCTGGAAATTGGAAAAAACAAAACAATCTGTCTAGGATGGCAGAGAGAGAGTTGGTCTCATCCAGGTGAGCGTCCCGAATCCTGCTTCCCAGCTTGGCATCCTGTGTTATACTCTTTCCCCAGAGGAGAAATGGGTCAGGTTCTTGGATTTCACAAACCCATTAAAGGCATGCTGTGACAGCTGGGAAGCTGGTAGCTCCCGGGGAGGCTGGGGGAACATGTGCTTTGCCTTTGTATACCATTGTTAAAGGGGCAAGGGAAGCCTAGGGACTGCAGGTGGAGGGGGACAGGTAGGATGCTCCTCTAAGCTGATAGCGTCTAATCACACTCTAGCTATTTAAGAGGCTGTGGCACAGCCTCCGCTTTGCATTAATGAGGTTCTGCCCAGGTCTGGACTTTGCTGAGAGCCTGTTGATCAGATTTCTAACCACCAGGGAGGCCAGATACCAAAAGCAAAACCGGCATTAAGCAGTGCTTTGCAAGATGTAAGCCCTCCTGGGTGAGAGGCTGTGATGATGACGTCTACAATAACTAAGAAATGATCCCAGGCATGATAAGGGGAACCAGTGTAGAGGGGAGCCTCCTTGGCAAGCTTACCAAACTGCTCACCAAACTGAGCTTAAGACTGCGGCTGCGGGGAGCACCCCTTTCTCCACACTACAAGCTGGTTCCTATAATGCACAGGTTGAGGACATTAGCTCTTCTTGGTGCAATGGTCAATTTCATATGTTAACTTGACTGGGCTAAGGGATGCCCAGATAGCCAGTAAGGCTTATTTCTGGGTGTGTCTGGGAGGGTGTTTCTGGAAGAGATTAGCATTCGAGTTGGTAGACTGAGGAAAGAAGATTGCCCTCACCATTGTGGGTAGGCATCATTCAACTGAGGGCCTAAATATATTAAAAAGGTGGAGGAAAGGCAAATTTTTTCTGTCGGAGTTAGGACACTCACTCCTGCCCTTGGACGTTGGTACTCCTGGTTCTCAGGCCTCTGAACTTGGACCAGGACTTACGCCATCAGCTCCCCTGGTTATACACCACCAGCTTTCTTGGTTCTTCACCTTCAGACAGCAGACAGTGGGACTGCTTGACCTCCATTTCCAATTCCCAAAATAAATCTTCTTATATCTATGCATCTCTGTAGGTATCTCTTTTATTAGTCATTTCCTTGGAGAACCCTGACTCATATAATTGGCCATCAGATGTGTCCACAGGTATATTATATATACCACAGCTATATTATATATTATACCTGTGGACACATCTGATGGCCAATTATATGAGTCAGGGTTCTCCCACAGTGAGATAGATATAGATATATATCAGATATTATATTATATTATATGTGTATCATATGGCATGGTCCTGAGCCAGGGAGGAGGAGTTCAACAGCAATTGGACTAAGAATTTATTTGCAATCTAACATAGTTAGTTTGACAAGGAGGCCATTTTCACAATTGCAATGTATGATTATAATGTACGCTTTAAATGTTAGAACATAGATTATAAATCAAGACATTTAGGTCATAACTGGAACTCTCTCATTAATTTTTCTGGTTACTCTGGGCAAGTCACTAATCCCTCTGGGTGTAATATGTATATATATATGTGTGTGTTTGTATATGTGTATATAAATATATATGTGTGTGTATACATGTGCATATATGTGTATGTATACATATATATATAAAATACACACATACATGTATGTAATATGTCATATGCATTATGTCATGACTAACAGATTAGTTCACTGTGGGAAGGCAGGTAGGGTGAGAGGATATGAGGACCCCATCTGTCCCTTTCAATCCTTTAGATTGGTTCCCAAGATAATAGCCCTCCCATATCCACAGGTAGAGCAAAGGGGCCTGAACTCCAGCAATCTTTTATGACTCCGATTATCTAATGTTCACCAAACTTGTGACAACCAGTGAACCATGTTTGTCCCATATGCATCCACTTGGCTGTGGGGTTTGGGTTTTGGGCATTAGGTTATTCTTAAAGGATACCACTCATGTTTAGAAGTGAACTGAGCGGAGAAAGGAAAGGTACCAATACAGCAAAGAAATGCCTTCACCAATGTTGAAAAGCCAGGAGACGCTGACGTGCCAGGTGTGGTGACAGCACGCACATCTGTTCTCACAGGCCCTCAAGGACTCCAGTGAGAAGGAGCTATTCCTTAGTCAGAAGTCTATGAGCAGACTGCCAGGTGTGGCCAACACGGTCCTGAGCCAGGGAAGAGGGGTTCAATAGCAATGGAACTAAGAATTTCTTTGCAATCTAACATAGTTATTTTGGCAAGGAGGCCATTTTCGCAACTGCAATGTATGCAGTTGCATAATACACACTTTAAAGCTTAGAACATAGATTACGTCTAGGTCATAACTGGAACGCTCCCATTAACTTTTCTGGTTACTCTGGGCAAGTCATTACTCCCTCTGGGTCTTTTAAAAAAATTTTTTATTCTTTTTCTCTCTCAGCAGAATCATCCCTCTAGGTCTTAATTTACCCATTTATGACACAGAAAATAAATAAATGATGCCCATCTAAGGGGTTCACATTGGCACTAATAGTTTCAATGTCATTAATAATAATATACTTCCAGAAAATGGTGTCTGATATTTGAGGTATCCTAGGGTAAAAGCTACCAATTTCGTTTTCTACAAACCAGATAACGATCAGCAGTTATAACATAAGAGTCTTGTTTTTACCCAATTAAAGGCATATGTTGAGCAGAAGACCTGGGTTCAAATGCCAGCTCTTGCTACTTTCTCACTGCATGACCTTGGGAGAGTCATTTCCCCTCTTTGAACCTTGCTTTCCTCATCCACTGCAATGGGTACAATGGTGCTCCACCCCACCCGACCTCCCAAAAGATATGTCCAGCAGGAGCCTCAGAATGTGGCCTTATTTGGAAATGGGTCCTTGCAGATGTAAGTAAGGATCTCAAGTTGAGATCATCCTGGATTTAGGGTGGGTCCTAAATCCAATGACTGGTGTCCTTAAAAGAGAAAAGAGGGGATCAGAGACACAGAAGGAAGAAGCCCATGTGAAGACAAAGACAGGTGTGAGTTATCCTGCCTAAGCCAAGGAATGCTAGGAGCGGTGAGAAGCCGGAAGAGGCAAGGAAGGACAGCATGGCGCTGTTCACACCCTGATTTCAGAATGCTGGCCTCCAGAAATACAAGAAAATGCATCTGTTGTTTTAAGTCACCAAGTTTATGGTAATTCCTTAAAGCAGCCTAGGAAAATAATAAACCTATAAAACAGGGAAACAAATGTTTGGCTTCCAGGGCTGCTGTGAGCATCAGATCAGATAGTATTAGGAAAGACTTTATTAAACAAAAGTTGGTCAGGCATGGTGGCTCACGCCTGTAATTCCAGCACTTTGGGAGGCCGAGGCAGGTGGATAACCTGAGGTCAGTAGTTTGAGACCAGTCTGACCAATACGGTGAAACCCCATCTCTACTAAAAAATATAAAAATTAGCCGGGTGTGCTGGTGTGCATCTGTAGTCCCAGCTACTTGGGAAGCTGAGAAAGGAGATTTATTGAACCCAGGGGACAGAGGTTGCAGTGAGCCGAGGCTGTGCCATTGCACTCCAGGCTGGGTGACAAAGTTGAGACTCTGCCTCAAAAAAAAAAAAAAAAAAAAAAGAAAAGAAAAGAAAAGAAAAGTTATGGGAGGCCACTGTTTTGAACTGAGCTTCTGCACTAGGCCCCACAGACCAGACCAAAATGAAATGGAATCACCCATATGCTAAATGTCACATAATCAAACGGAAACTTCAAGGAAGCAGACAGATCCCAAAACAGACCAGCTATTCCAGAAAATAGGAGATTTCAGTCTAACTGAGTCAGGGTAGACTTTAATCCTTTACAAAAAAATAACCTGGCCAGGCACGGTGGCTCACGTCTGTAATCCCAGCACTTTGGGAGGCCGAGGTGGGTGGATCACCTGAAGTCAGGAGTTTGAGACCAGCCTGGCCAACATGGTGAAACCCCGTCTCTACTAAAAATACAAAAATAGCCGGGCATGGTGGCGCATGCCTGTAATTCTAGCTACTCAGGAGGCTGAGGCAGGAGAATCGCTTGAACTTGGTGGGCAGAGGTTGCAATGAGATCCGCGGCACTGCATTCCAGCCTGGGCAATAAAGAGAGAGTCCGTCTCAAAAAAAAAAAAAAAAAAAAAGAAAAGAAAACCTTGAAGTAACCTGATGTTAACCAACGAGCTTTTTTTTTGTTTCCTTGGTCTCACCTTATAAAACCCACTGTTGTCCCATTGCCCAGTGGGAGTTCTCATTCTATTTTGTAGAATGGAGGCTGCACAGATTCATGAATCACTAATAAAAGCCAATTCGATCTATAATGAAGTTTGTTATAATTTTGTCTTTTGACAAGTGCTTTGTAAGCTATACAGGCCCATTCAAAATTAGAGGATTACTCCAGGGCTCTGTAAGCAGCTCTTCTTAGGGGCAGTGGGATTCTTTGAAAGGCTAAGAGAGTGACTGAGGGAACACTGGGCCAGAGGCAAGCAGCCAGAGGAGCAATACTGGAGCCTGGGCAACGCCACCGGTAAGGCTGACTGGTTATGCGTCAATTACATAGCAAAGGCCTTTGGTGGGGAGTGAAAGCATATGGTGAATATGTGCACCCCACTTTCTCTGAGGATGCCTGCAGGGGGCACAGAAGAGTAGGTGAAGCAACCTCTTAGCTCTGATCTCCCCACATCTGAGGGTGGGGATAGAACTTTTTAGCTCCCTAAATTCTTCAATAAACAAGCAGAATTATACTCAACATGGGTAAGAATGGAATGAGATTGACTGTTCTGGGCAGGAACATCACTAGTGTAAGCTATCTGAAGGGCAATTTGGCAATATGTATTAAGAATCAAGGCCAGACGCGGTGGCTCACACCTGTAATCCCAGCACTTTGGGAAGCTGAGACAGGCGGATCACTTGAAGCTGGAAGTTCAAAATCAGCCTGGCCAACAGAGCAGAACTCTACTAAAAATACAAAAATTAGCCGGGCGTGGTGGTGTATGCCTGTAATCCCAGCTACTCAGGAGGATGAGGCAGGAGAATCACTTGAACCTAGGAGGTGGAAGTTGCAGTCTGCCGAGATGGCGGCACTGCACTCCAGCCTGGGTGATGGAGGGAGACACTGTATCCAAAAAAAAAAAAAAAAAGTTAAAAACGTGCCCAACTACTACTGACCTAGGCAGGGATGCCACTTCCAGAAATCTAGCTGAAATAAATAACCTAGGAAGCAACAACTGTCATGCATAAATACACTCATTGCCATTTTAACACAGCCCCATAATACGGTACTTGTTAAGAAAATTAGACTTCATTCTTGCAGTAGAATATTAGGTAGTCATAAACATGATGTTTATAATTAGAAATTCTTTAAGATACAATGTTAAATTAAAAAAAGACAAAAGTATACAGTTATTATTATTGAACCATGTAAAAGAAACATGGAAAAACATTCTAAATGATTCACCACAAAATGCTAACCGCGCTGTCTCTGGGTAGTCAGGCTACAGGGGATTCTTCTGTTACTTTATACTTTTCCATATGTTTCCTACTTTTTTTTTTTTTTTTTTTTTGAGATGGAGTCTCACTCTGTTGCCCAGGCTGGAGTGCAGTGGCGTTCTCTCAGCTCACTGTAACCTCTGCCCCCCGGGCTCAAGTGATTCTTGTGCCTTAGCCTCCCGAGGAGCTGGGATTACAGGCATGTGCCACCACGCCCAGCTAATTTTTGTATTTTTAGTAGAGAGAGGTTTCAACATGTTGGCCAGGCTGATCTGGAACTCTTTTTTTTTGAGACGGAGTTTCGCTCTGTCGCCCAGGCTGGAGTGTGGTGGCGCGATCTCGGCTCACTGCAAGCTCCGCCTCCCGGGTTGGCACCATTCTCCTGCCTCAGCCTCCCAAGTAGCTGGGACCACAGGCGCCCGCCACCATGCCTGGCTAATTTTTTGCATTTTTAGTAGAGATGCGGTTTCACCGTGTTGGCCAGGATGGTCTCCATCTCCTGACCTCGTGATCCATCCGCCTCGGCCTCCCAAAGTGCTGGGATTACAGGCGTGAGCCACCGCGTCCGGCCTGGTCTGGAACTCTTGACCTCAAGTGA